AGATGTTTGATTTATTTTGCAATTTTCAACAAGTGAATATTCTCCACACACACACTCACTGACATTGAATGAGAAAGCAGAGGAAGAACGGTGGGAAGGAGGATGAATGAAGATGAGAGGGTTGAGGGAAGAGGAGAGAGAAGGAGAAGGAGAAGACAACTTCCATTTGAAGGCATTTGGCTTCGATGCTCAACATTTGATGAAGATCTGCACAGTCTAAATTTTAAAATTTTAGTTTTATATTATTATTTTATATTTATTATAAAAAATTATAAAATTTTTATAAATCTATGTTATCATTAATTTGGATGATCCAATTTAATACCAAAATATTTTTATAATTTTCATAAATTGATTATTCAAATGTAATTCAATATTAAAATTTTTTAAAATTTTTATAGATGTTTATTTTAGTAAATATAATACTAAAAAATAAAAATAAGGATAATCTTCAAATTGGCATTTTACAAAAATAAAAAAGGTTGCAACTTAAAAATTTTAAATTTAAAATATTCAAAATACATCTAGATAGTCAATTTATAAAAATTATAAAAATATTTAATATTAAATTAAATTATTTAAATTAAATTTGTATAGTCTAAATTGATGATAGAGTATATTTATTATTATTTATAATTTTTATTTTAATAAATATAAAATAAAATATAAAAATAAAACTTGTAAACTAAATTTGGACTATCCAAGTTTTTTATTGCTCATCACATAGTGAGGACGGAAACCAAACGTGCATGTGGAGAGATGTTGAGTTTGAGAGAGTAGAAAAAGTGGAGTGCCACATGTCTAATAAAGTTAAAAGTTACGGTCAACAAATGATGACACTAATGACAAGGCAAAATTGTTTTCCTTTTAAGACATTACAAAGGAAAAAAAAAAATTAATACACCAATCATTCTTAAAAAAAAAGTTTTAAAATAATTTTACCTTTTTGTTCAAAATTTTAATTTTTTTCATTAGATACGCTGATAAAATATAATATTAATGTATTTAATTCTTAAAAATATTAATATAATTTCATATTCTTAAAATAAAAAATTAAAAAATTATAACATAAACATATTTTTTAATAATACGTCAAAGTGACAAATAAAAATTAACTTAAATTTAATAGAATAAAATTGTTTACTTATTAGTAGTTTCCCTCTTCTCCCTTTCATTAAATTTCTTCCCCTCCTCCTCCCATCCAAGCAATTCAAACAAGAATCATTAAACCCTTCGCCTCCCCTCCCTTTTATAGGTTTATCCCATCTACCCCTCGCCTTCATTATAATGGTTCACTTACTTTCTTTCCCCTTCAACTAAATACACCTAAGATTTGAATCCCTTGAAATAAAAAGTTAAAATAATATACACACACCTGCGTTCTAATTTTATATTGATAAATGCTGTTTCCCACCTTTGTTTTTAGGCTTTTCAATTTATCCCCTCTCCCTTCATGGGATCTACTCATAGAAACTTCAATTCTAAACACCCCATAATTTTGACAAGCACGAGATGTCACAAGAGAGAGGATCCTCTAAAAATATTTTATAATAAAATTTAAAAAAATAAAGACGCGAAGGACTTTAAATTGATATCCCTCCCTCTCTTATTTTTCTAAAGCACTTAAGAATATTTGTCTTTTCAAGTCAATAACGGTTTCTATATTGACGCCGAGGCTGCTCACATTTATCATTAATCATAGCAGTGGGGGTTTCTTTTTTATTTAATGTGAAGTAAAAAGAATATTACTTTCAACAGTATATCAAACTCGTAAAAGCGGCTCTTCAACCAACAACACTAGACGCTTTTGTTCTTTCCGACCACTAACTTTCTTCCCATGTCTGTCAAACTATGTGCTTATAGTAGCTGATACTTTGATATCCCCACTCCATTCGCTTTTATATTTCTTTATATAAAAATGCTCACTAGTGGGAAAAGAACAAGAAACAAAAATATACTCGGATCATGACCATGACATTACTGTTCTCCAACGAACAAGTTACTTGGCAGCTTGAGAGGGTTTCAAGAAATTGCAGAATTTTTTGATTGTGTGAGTACTGATGGACGATAATTCCATGACCAACCTAGCCTATGTTATCATTTGCTTCGGCATGTGAACTGAACTGAGGCAGATCCAATATTTTACATACAAGCTACAGATACAAGGCAGAACAAAGATGAAAGTCCAGGGTTGGACTTTTGGTAACTCTGATAATGAGTTTTTTTTTTTTAAAAAAAAACATAACTTGAGTTCGCTGCACTTTATCGAATTTTTGCTATAAGCTCCTATATTTTTTTTTCAATATTATAATTCCCTACACTTTTATTTTTTTATGTTAAAACACCAAAAAAAATAAAAATGCAAAACTTTATAACAAAATTTGGATAAAGTACAGAGACTTAAAGTTATGTTTTCTGTATTTTTTTATTACTTGAAAATCTTCTTATTAGAGATACTCCTATATGAGACGTGATGGGATACTACATGTAAGCACCCCTTACCATATGTTCACAGATTTGTCGCAAGGTTAGAAAATCCCTATTATGCTTGCTTCAAGCTCAAAAGCCCACCAGATGACAAAGACACCAAACCTGCTTCTTGAAGCACAACTCCGTGATTTGCTCGTGCGGGGTAGCAGAAAAAAGAGAGGCATTACCAGATGAATAGATAATGTTGATCCAGTCTTTCTCGTAAGATGAAGATAGAAGGCAACACACTACAGACTCCAGAATTGGATTTCGAAAACAGAGGAACCACGTGATTCTGGTGGTGTCTTAGATACATGTCCACAGAGGAGCATCAAGAAGCAGGACTGGCGTCTTCAACATCATCAAGAGGCACGCTGCAGTCAGCCAAGAATTGATCGAACTAATCATAGCAAGGATTACTAAACTTGTCTGAAAATGTATGGCAGAAGACCTGAAATTGGGGATACATCCAAAAATTCTAGGCATATGAGGCAGAAGCTTTGAAGAGCTCTATGTCACGAATGATATCTTCATGAGCGTGTAAAGACCAATGTAATGAACGATCCGCTGGTTAGCCTCGCACAATATGAATAAAAAGGGTGACATTGACATTAAGTGCGTTCTCCTTAGTCTTCGGGCTAAATGCACAACTGATCGGGGGCTAGTGCCGCCTCCCTGATGAGCCCATGACAAGGCGAAACCAGTGTGATTCATATGTAGTAAAGCTTGTCTCGGAGATTATGGGGTCCTCGGGACACCGCACGGGCGCCGTGTGCTGCGCCAGACTCTCAGCCCGTGACATCTAGCTCTCATGAATGAAGAGAACGCCTAAAAAGAAATATATTTGCTATTTGATGATACCTCAAAAAAATAAGATCCTTTATATGTATCTAAATATTACTCTATTCGCCCCATAAAAGATATTTTTCTAATAAAATTTTGAATACCAATGAAATCAATTAAATACAGTTTAGAATCTTAATTTCTCCAAAAAGAAATGTAAACTCCCAAAAATTCCTTTCATTTATTAAGAGAAAGAGACAGATAGACAGTTAAAACGTGAAATAATGAAAGAGTAATTTTGGAATAAATTTCATCGATAAATCATTATTTTCTCAAAACATCTTACATTATGAAACATCAAATTACTCCAAAATAAACATATTATAAAATGTAACACGGGGCAGAGGATATATTTGAAGGAAGTTGAGTTTTCAAGTCATACTCACCAACCATGACCTGATGATTTTTAAAATACCATAATTGCAGATTTGCTATGCATGAAATGAAAATGACCACTCTATGAAACTTATACATGATGCAGTCTCTTAGTAATTTCATCATCCGTATATCCTGCCACCATTTGCGTATAGAACATAAAAGCAAAACGATGTAAAATTACTGGAGCAAATGGTCAAGACACACAAAACCATGCATACTCAACTGCTTTACACAGATTCTGCTTGTAACCTTGTCCACTAAGCTTTCCTAAGTATTTGTCTTAAATCACTATCGCATAGGCACACATATGTTCCATTCAACAAGGCAAGAATCATTTACGTCATGATCTGTTTGAAAAGATCAAATGAGCCGCAACTATCACACTAAAAATCTTGTGATAAAGTCCTAAACAACCTATTCAGCCAAGCAATAGCTAAAAGAGTGAAGTTCACTCCTTATAATTTCAATGCTGAGTATTTCAAATCATACTTGCCCCGAAAAACTAGAATGAGGACCTCAGTAATACACCCTAGCCCTAATAAACTTCCATGGTTATCTAAACTTTGGAGCAATTATGCACATGCTTTCAACAGGACATCACAAAACTTTCACCATTACTTAACATGATTGGAGATTGATATAGAACATAGTCTTTGAAATCTCAGACAGGTTATAAACCTAGCCCATGACATCTCCTCAATCAAAATAAATGCATCGCTTAAGGTGAAGAGGGTCACTTTCGGTGAAGAAAAAATTTCTCTGATTTTCTGCATATCACAACATGTATACATCCAGAAAACCATAAAAACAAGAATACAGGGAACCGGAATGCCCCACCGAGAAAAGAAAAGAGACAAGGGGGGAAAGGAAAAAGAATGTTCCAAAAAATTTGAATAACACTGATATTGATTATTGCCAGCTTACATTACACAAGCAAAACAAACAAATTTTGTATGAATTCAAGCAAGATCAGATTTTACCTCCAAATGCTAGGTGGCAAACATATTGTTAAAGGATAAAAATGCAAACGTGCTTAGCCAGACAATGGCATATCTAAGACCCATCCTGTGACTACCTGCCACTAACACTAAATCGAGGATGCAAAAATAGCAACAATATTTCATATTAGGATTCCAAACTTCCCAGTCTGCAAGTCACCTAGAAATAATGTACATTTCTAATGAACAGATATTGCAAAACTAGAAGACGGGGGAAGAGGGAAGAATTTTCGAGAAAGAACAATGAAAAAAGGATGATTCTAGTATTCAGTAATCATTGCAGATTTTGATTGAGTAAAAACACACCAGCTATTTAGAGTAGAAACAGCAAAATATATAGAAGATAATTTTGACCATCGTTGTATATATTGTTCCAGGATGTAATCTTTTTTCTTTTTTGGTCTGAGTTTTGAGCACCAGTAATCTAAATACATTATTTTCCGGCAAAACTAAAGAACAAAAAAGATATAAAAAAAACATACAACCCTTGACGATCTGTACAGAATGATATTTGAACTTGACATATAAGACCCAGCTACACAGGAGGTATATTAGAGAAAGAAAATCCTTTATATCCCTTGTAGGCAAAATAAGCAATCCGCGTATAGTAGAAACCCGGAATGAACAAGATGGTTCCCAGTATAGCAAAGAAAAGCCCTGAATACGAACTCAACCGGTTAGAAAGCCCATAGTAGTTAATAATACTGTAATAGATGCTGAATTCGATAATATCAGCTAAGACTTTCAAATTCCCCTAGTTGGACAATTACTTCCAATATATTTCCACGGATTCACACATCAAAGAAGGCGAGAAAAAAATATACAATAAAAAGGGGGAATCAACTCCAGAGTAAGAATTAATTCTCCACAACTTTCAAGAAAGAGGGGGTGTAAGAAAGTTCATTAGAAACGTCAGCTCTTTTCGTTAAAAAAGAATAATCCAGCCTTTTCTTTTATCAATCGGGCGAAGAATAATCAGCATGGAAACTTAAAATCCATGAAAATTATGAAAAGGGTAAGGAAGAACAACAGATAATACCGTGAGCCGTGTCACCGCCGACATGATTATAGGCCATGATGGAACCGATGATGATGCCGAGGGTTCCAAAGAAGAGGAGAGCAACGGCGAGGCCGATCTCCTTGATGGGAGGTTTGTTGTTGACAACGTATGATGGCTCCATCATGATATCCTCGTCAGAAATCGAGAATGCGTGATCTACGTACGCCATTGTTGAATCAGTACAAGATTTGCCTAATACAAGATCAGAGTGTTTTTTTCTCTCTGGGGGTCTCTCAGTGTGTCCTGATCCTCAAAAATTAGCTCAGGTTTTCGTAATGAATGATCAAAATTGAAAAGAAATACAGGGAGATGGCTGAAACGCGTGAGAGGGAAGTGGGGCGGGCTGAATGCAGCTTTCGCGGTTTGAACAAAAACTTGGCCAGGTTCGATAGATCAAGACTCTGCGATTTGGACCATTACGCCATTAGAAATTATTTATAGTCTTTTTTATTTTATTTTTTTCACCAACTTATAAGTACTCACCCGTAACTCGCAGGAGTATTTATAATTTATAATTATAATTATTTTAAATTGATGTCTATTAAGCTCATGTAATGGTTGTTAAACCAAATTTTGAAGAAGTCGCTATTTTTGGGGGTAAAAGGATGGGAATCAGCTGTCCCTGACAATAACAAGATAATTAACAAATTTATTTCTGATTTAAAAAAATTGAGATGCCTTACTGTTTAAAGAGTATGTTAGGGTGTGTTTGATTTAAGGGAGGGAAGGAGAGGGTTTTTATATTATTTTGTTTGGTTTTATTGGGAGATAGGGGAGGAGAGAAGTTTTTAATAATCCTTTATTTGGTTTGGAATAAGAGAGGATAAGAGATAATAACTAATTTACTATTATATTCTTATATATTAGTTTAAAATTTTTTTAATTATTCATTGTAGAAAATAATTTTACACCTCAATTTAAATTGTATGATTTTTTAAAAATTCACTCTCATTCTATCATATTATCAATATGTGAATAAAAAATTAAATCAATAATTACAATGATAACAAATTTTTATAAAAAATAAATAACTTCCTTAAATATATAATAAAATATGATGAACAGTAATTTTTTTAAAAAATCCAATGATGTTAGTTAAGGTCGGAAGTAAAGCATAATTTGATATGAAAAAGAGTTTTTTTTTTTTACTATGGACATACTCAAAATATTAAAAAATAGATAAGGGTAAAATAGTTAAAAACAATTAGCTTCACTTCAAAAAAAATCTTAATTTAAAGAGGAGCAATGAGAGGAGGGGAAGGGAGTAGAGGGGTTATTTTAGTTTCCATCCTTTACAAAATTTTTTAATCAAGTAAGAGGAGGGAAGCATTTTTTTTTTTTTAAAACTTCTAATCAAGCATACCTAAAAGATAGATGATGTAAAGGTAATATTGAGAAGGATGGTTTTTTAACGCTCAAGAGACTTTCAACAGAGATGATGAGTTGGGTTAAAAAAGCAAGATGCTTTTCTCTTTTTGAAAATATAAGCAGTAAACAGGGAAAGATTGATTATTATTAGATTAGCCGCCCCGCTTTGAAGTTGCAACTATATGTAATATAATACCGAAAGTAAAATAAAGTATCTCAATCCAAAGTCAATGATAAGCAACAGGAAAATGACAATTAAAAACTTCACAAGAATATTAATTATAATTCTAAATTTTAAATGATTAAAATCTTAATAATATACCATATTCCTTGTTAGTAATAAAATATTTTTTGTTGATTGGTTTCAAATAACTTTTGTCAATTTCTAACTAACAGTACACAAATTTTTAAGTATTTTTTATTAATTTCTCAAGCGATTTATCTTTATATTGAAAGTAAAAAATTACAAGTGATTAATTCATAATTTATAATTAACTCTCATGAATTCTTAACTAATATTACAAATGATTACAAATGTAACTTATAAATTTTTTAAATGATTTATCTATATATTAATAGTAAAAAATTATAAATGATTAACTTGCAATTTATAACTGACTCTAATAAATTTTCAACTAACATTACAAGCAACTTCAAATGTATTTCATTAATTTTGAATATGGTTTATTTATATATTAACAGTAAAAAAATTAAAATTCACAATTAACTTTTATAAATTTTTAATTAACTTTATAAATAATTTTAAATATATTTTGTTAATATTCTGAATAATTATTCATATTTTTTTAATTGTAAATAAAAATCATGATATATTATTAAAATTTTAATAATTCAAAGTTTATAATTGTAATTAACATAGTTATGGGTTCCTAATTGTTACCTTCCCTAAGCAACACGTACTTAAATTTCGTACTGATGTGCTGACCTACATGAATTATTTATTGATTATAAAAAGTAAAAGTCATCCGTTAACTTTTGACCACGTAGTCCGTATGTCTCACTGTTTTTATTTTTATTTTTCCACTTAAAAAAATTACACTGAAATCTGATATAAAAAAATTAATTATTATAAAATTTAATCATAACTAAATTAAAGAAGTTGATAATTTCTTTATTCAATTATTAATACACTTTATTATAATTAATTTTTTTATGTGGAATTTGAATATAATTTTTTTTATAGTCAATTTTTTTTTATTTAAAAATATCTTTGTACTAGTAAAGTTTGCTTTTAAAAAAAAAAAGTTTAAATTTGATTTCTAGAAGCCTTAGCACTAACCTCGAGAAGTTTTGGAATCGTTATAAAACACGCAAACACGTACGCACATAGCTATTATCATGGCCGTTTTGATTTTAATTGAATATAATTGATTATGAAAATAATTTATTAATATAATTAATTTTAATTATAATTTATTATATTATAATACAATCTATTTTGATACTGCTTTTTTAAATTAATTTTAATTATATAAATTATTATAAAAGATATTATTTTTTAAAATTAAATTATTGATAAAGTTATATTTAATATTATTAAATTTGTAAAATTTTATTTTTGAAATAAAATATATTATTTAACAGTGAAATTAAATCTATAAACAATCTTTCATAACTTATTTCAAAACATAATTCTAACTTAATAATTAATTATTGACTTTTTGGGTTGTTGGGGTAATATTATCAGTGTTTTTCTGTAAAATGTTCATGGCCAATACTAATTTTAAAACACGACTCATCTAATAAACAAGCTTAATGTGCCATATGATAGGGTCTTGGTATTATATTATCAACGTGTTTGGATAAGTTAATAATAAATTTTTTTTGGCTAAATAATTGATTTCACTAAAAATTACCCAAACAGCTAAATTTGCTCATAATCAATCATTTGACCTAAAATCAATTTTGGCTTAAGTTTGGGGTGAGTAACTTTTGAATGAGTTTGACCATCATAATATTATACCAAGACCCCATCACATGACACATTAAGCTTGCTTGTTAGATAAGCCGTGTTTAAAAATTAGTATTGCCCATGAACTTTTTGTAGAAAACACTAATAATATTACCCCAACGGTCAAAAAAGTTGATAATTAATTATTGAATCAGAATTACATTTTAAACTAAATTTTAAAAAATTTATTATAAATTTAATTTTATTATTAAATAATATATTTTACTTCTTAAATAAAGTTTAACAAATTTAATAATATTAAATATAACTTTATCAATAATGTAATTTAAAAAAATGTGTTTTATGTTAATTTATATAGCTAAAATTAATTTTTTTAAAAATAGCATTCAAACAGAATGCATTATAACATAATTAATTATAATTAAAATTAATCATATTAATTAATTATTTTTATAATTTATTATATTTAATTGAAATCTAAATAGGCCCTATAATATCAAACTCATTCAAAAGCTGCTCCCCCAACTTAAGCCAAAAATTGATTTTGGGTCAAATAATTAATTATGAACAAATTTGGCTGTTTGGTTAACTTTTAGTGAAATCAATTTGTTAACCCAAAAAAGTCGATTATTGGCTTATCCGAACGCGCAGCACGTCCCCTCCAACAGTGCGATTATGAGCTTAGGATTCAATAAAAAGGAACGATCACTAATGACATGGGATGAAATGAAATATTTGTTTCATATAGTATTATAAGATATTTTTAATTAAAATTATCATAAATTAATTAATAACATTTAAAATTACCCTTTTTTTATATTTATCTTAATTTAATAAGTTGTCCCAATTAAATTCTTTTATTAATTCCACACCTAATTAAGAGCATTTCTAGAAAACTGTATCAATGCATCATAAAAGACTCAAAAATGTCTTATATTTTTTAAACATGATATTTAAAAAAATTATCTTTTTATATTGAATGGAGTAGCAAGTGGCAAATTATAAGATATTTTTTTAGCTAATGAGATGGGGTGAAATGAAATATTTGATTCACCTAGGATTATAAGATATTTTTAATTAAATTATACATTATAATAAGTTATTTTTTTTGGACCATATAATAAGTTAGCTAATAATATTTAAAATTATACTACATTTTTTTATATTTACAAAAGATGTTGTATATTTTTTTAAATTATTATTTTTCTATCTTCCTCATTTTACATTATAAACTAGGAAGACCGTCTTTCAAAAATAATAACAATACCACGTTACATAAATTTTATTTTTCTTTACATTACCTTGTTTTTACCATGTATGTATTGTTTTTATTATTTAGCCAACTTATATAACCATTTTTAATAAAAAAATTTAATCTTTTTATCTCATTATCATACCTTAATAAAGGATCAATATATATGTGGGTGTGTATGTGTATTCAGTTAAAAAAAAAGTGATAATAAATAGTAAAGCTTTCTATCATATTAATAATTTTTTTTTTGAAAAAAAGGCTAATCAATATCTAATTTCTATAACTTTGATTTGATCATAATTCATTTTCTAAATTTTGACCTTTACAGCTTGGCCTCTATAATTTTAATTTGGTCAAAATTTAGGTTCTAAATTTTGACACAATGCAATTTAGTTATTATAATTTTAATAATTTAAAATATTAGTCCTCAAGCTTTAAGAAATAACTTATAATTTTATTTAAAAAATAAAATTAATATTTTAAATAGTTAAAACTATAAAAATTGAATTGTATTAAATTAAGATATAATAACAACATTTTAACCAAGTCAATTTGCAAGGGTTTTTCAAACCACTGGTGAGATGCATACAAAATACATGCAAATCTTATTGACCATCGATGAACTAATAGAATTAACTAACTAAAGTTAGCTTCAATCATGATGTATTGAACAGAAGCAAAAAGCCTAGTTTAATTGAATTGCATTAAATCAAAATTCAAAAACTAGTTTTGATTGAATCAAAACCATATGAATCTAATGATTACTTTTTTCTTAAAATATTATTATAATATGAAAGATGTGCAACAATTATTATAAAAATTATTTAAAATAATATTAATTACGTATCATTTCATCTTAAACTCGCTATTCACAAATTTGAAAGGATAGAAAAATTGAATTTAAGATGTATAAGGATAACTTGAGAAGCTAGTTTTCTAGCCTTCCACTCCCTTTGGGACAAAAAAACTTCCAAATGGGCAGCTACAATTTGTTGAAAATTCTAGTGTACAATTTGATTCAAGCGTTATGTCTGAGGATATTATTTTTAAGATTATTTTGCCGTACAAGTTGACAAAAGCAACTTCCTAAAATTAAACAAATCCTTCTTGCAAAAATACACACACGAAAAAGAATTACTTAATATGGAAGAGGGATACTTAAAAGTTCAAAAGCAATGTGCTTTGCATACTCTACAAGCATGTTTCATACAAGCAATATATATACATGAATGTCAGGCACCACTTAGTACCATAAAAACTTTTTGGAGATTATAAACATTGGAACAATGAACTTGTATACACAATTAAACACTACAAATTTCTAAAAGATCAGAGTATTGAATTTGGATCAAGAAATCTTTTAATAAATATGGTAGATTTCAAAAGGTTATAGTTTTGAACAAGTCGTCATTAATTATTATAAAATTCAAAAGATTTGCTCAATTAAAATATTTTTAATGTCTATAAAATATTTTTAATAAAAGAGGCCAACATCACATCTTTCTCACATATAATATATGTGCACATTCACTCCTCTTCTTAGTTTATCTCACCTACCCAAATTTCCATATTAATATTTATACACTCAAACTTCCTCAATCTTAAAAAATGTGATGTTCTTTTGACACACATACATAAAATTACACTCCATTCCATTTTATTTTTAAAAAAAAACACTAAAAAGGAAAAAGAAAATCCCAATCATATACAAAAACTACAACGAAGGCACTTGAAGTTAAGTCAAGTGGGGCAAACAGAATAAGATACTAATGAAAGTCGATAATTCAAACCAGTATGTAGAGAAAGAACAGCAATACAGAACAGAAATACCCCATGATCTCTCCGCCAATACTTCAGAAACAGGGGATGGTTACGGAAATTTCTGTTAAAAAGAGAGAGAGAGAGACAGATGAGTGAGATGATGATGATGTGAGGCTGAAGGTGCAATATTTTCTTGGTTCTACACGACGTGGCAGCAGGACTCAAACTGATACTGTACAGGGAACCTTGACGCACAAGATTTCCAACCAAAAGGGGGCCCTGCATCTTAATTTCATTACATATTCGAGGCCAATTCTTGGAAGCTTCCCTCCTCTACGTCACATTATCGCATAATATTTTTCTTCCTCATAACAGTAAACCAATTTTGCCGAGCCATCTTCTGAAGAAATAATACATATATATATATATATATATTTTGCTTAATCATTTTGATCGCTTCTACTGCAGTTCTAATCACCAATGCGAACGGGACTCGTTGCCAAATCGCAGAAACTTAAATTTCATTTTCTCTCGTTTCCATAGCATTCCTCTGCCTTTCCTGCTTGAAAAAACCAGCGAATTAAGACGGATTTATCCATCCATTCGTTCTCAAATTTGTTTCAGCAGTGAGGATTAGGAAGAGCAAGTTGAAAGATCAATATGGGAAACTGTCTAGCTCGTCAATCAGATTCTCCAAATTCTCGTAGCAACTCCAACAATGGCGCCAACAACAACCAATTAGGTATGCCAAAACTGGCCTCGCTCCATTTCTCACTTCTCTTTATCTGTTCCTGCCCAGTGATTCTGCATTCTGCTTTTAAATTAACAGCTAGAGAGGGTTTTCCATTATTATTTACGCAGACAAATATGAGATCAAGCTGCTAAAAGCAATTATCAGTATAACCCAGTCAAACAAAAGTTGGGAACAACGGAAGCCAAAAAAACAGCAAACTATTTACTAATTTGGATCCTAGTTCCTGCAAACTGAACAAGAGTGCTGTTTTCACTTTTAGCTTAACCAGAATCGATTGTTTAATTCCAACTCAAAAAGAACTAACATTCCCATAATTTTATTTTTTTCCAAATTCTGGGATACCACAGTATTCTGAAAAAACCCCGCTCTTGTCCCATAGAGAAAAGATTTCTGTTTCTCGTCCTTTGAAGCTTAAAACAAGTGAACTGCAAGAACTTATGAGACTATTATCCAAACATCATCTCTTAAATAACTAATCAAGGTTATCAATGATAATGTCTCAGGGAGCTGCCAATTATCGATCAGACACAATAATTCGAGACTCTTGCAGAGTACAAGCAGTTCCACTCTGCTTGGACGAAGCAGCATCTCTGCTGGAAATAGCAGGCTATTTGGACCAAGTAGCAGTAACACATACACAACCAGCAATACGAATACATCTCTTTTAGGCTCTGATATCAGCCAAACGTTTAAAGTAAGAGGTGAAGAGGAGTTTCCTAATGGGCAGATCTTGGATGTGGCAAACTTGATAGATTTCACTTTTGAGGAACTGAAGGCAGCAACTAGAAATTTCAGACCCGACTCTGTACTAGGAGAGGGAGGCTTTGGCAGGGTGTACAAGGGTTGGCTTAAAGATAGAGCATCATCAAGTAATAACAGATATGAGGGATTGGTTGTTGCCGTCAAGAGATTGAATTCCGATAGCACACAAGGAATTACGGAATGGCAGGTGCTGGCACTAAGACTCTGAAAAAAGAATTGTGAACCTTCCTTTGCTTTGTGATTATATATTTGATGCTTACTTTGTGCAGTCAGAGGTGAATTTCTTAGGAAGGCTTTCTCACCCCAACCTTGTAAAGTTGTATGGATATGGAAGGGAAAATGGAGAGCTATTTCTGGTGTATGAATACATGCACCGAGGCAGCTTGGCTAACCATATATTCGGAAGTAAGAGCTTATCACATTACTTAATTGCTGGACAACTTTCAAGCATGTTTTTTGATTTTGTTTGTGCAGGAGGATCAAATGTACGGCCACTGCCATGGGACACAAGGTTAAAGATTATGATTGGAGCAGCTAGGGGCCTAAATTTCTTGCACTCGTTAGAGAATAGAATCATATACAGAGATTTTAAGCCATCCAATATCTTACTTGACAAGGTAATTGGGTACCCTCAATGCTTTTTCTCTGCGAACGTTGCAGAGTCATCTTTATTTATCATGCCATAGTGCCACAGAATAGTCTTACAAAGGACAAAGAGAAAAGCCATTTGTGCATTTAGCTATTCAAGAAATCAGAGAATGTTGGGTTCAGTCTAACTTACAGCTTTTATCGCAGAGCTACATAGCCAAGTTAGCAGACTTCGGTTTGGCCAAAACTGTTCCTTCTGGCGGCAGGACTCATGTGACGACAAGGGTGATGGGAACTTACGGTTATGCAGCCCCTGAGTACGTGGTCACAGGTTTCCCTCTTCAACTTCATCACTCCTCCTAATTTTGGCATAAATTAAACACAAAAAATCAGTCGTCAAAAGTTACAATTAAAAAACTGTTTCGAAATTGTGTTATTACTGATGAAAATACCAATGCTCCCTTGCGAATGTACTAGGTCACCTGACTATGAAAAGCGACGTGTATGGATTTGGGATTGTTTTGGTGGAGATATTGACAGGCAAAGCGATATCTGATATACTTAAGCATATGGGTAAGGACCAATCATTAGTTGATTGGATCAAGGCAAATCTATTGAGTAGATGGAAGATGAGGGAGACGATGGACAGAAGATTGGAGGGGAAATATCCACCCAAGTTAGCATTACAAGTAGCTCAACTTGCTCTAAAATGTGTGGGAACGGAGTATAAACTCAGGCCACCAATGAAAGAAGTTGTCGAGGCATTAGAACAGGTTGAGGCAGCAAATGATAAAACTACTGACATCAGAAAACGTGCCATTCATTCTGGAGCAGCTCAACTTCATGGTCGCCCAGATGGAGGTTAAATTGGTGAGTTGAATTTGATACAAAACTAATTGCCCCAAAAGAAAAAAAAAAAAATCTCTCAGGAAGATAATGTTGAATAATGGAGGAAAATCACAGGCTCGAGTCCTCACTAATATCATTATCCTTAAAGACTTTAAGATATTTCGCCTACAAGAGGCGTATTCCTCAGGAGTCAGGATTCAACAAAGCCCTCTATTTATCGATAGGTAGCAATCATAAGCGAAGTATAAATATGCTATGTAAGTAACCTAGAAAATAATGAAAATTAACAGAAAAATGATAGAAGGTTGCTCTTCCTATAATTTGGGATATCATGTTAGACCAGGTCAATTAATAAATTAACAAAATAAAATAAACAAATGAAATTAATAGATCGAGTCGCTTGTATCTGTGTGTTAGGACTCACTTCTAAGGTCTAACACTTACATTTATCGTTTATTTATGATAGATTTTTCTTTTTTTTTTTTGTAAACTCAGGAAGAGAAGAGTCTCTCCCAAGAAGTCCCTGCTCTATTGGCATATGATTGAGCTTTGAAATGGGCATATATAAGTAAGAACCTGATGAGATCAATCAAAGGACATGTTTGGAAAGGCCACGCTTTCTTTGAGTGAATATATGACATATAGGGTACACGCACTCCCTCGAGATCATAAAAAACACATGGCTCTAACGTTGACAATTGACAAACAACCAAGTGCGGGTCCTTTGGTTCTGCTTTCCTTGAAATTCTCAAGCTTTTCTAGGGGCCTCCATTATGATGCAATTGTGAAATCACACACCAAAGGCAGTCCATCAATTTCAGCAATCTACGTTGTCCATTGACTTATGATTGTAAAATTTATTTATAGGAGATGAGTGTATAGTAACTATTAGACGTCCTGTGAAATTTTGTGAAGGGGAATGACATCTACATCTGAAAAGTTCAATTTAATTATAGTTAGATTCCAAAAATTTTTGATAAAAAATAAGCTATAAATACTAATTCTGACACTAAGAAATAAAGAAATTTCAATTATAAATCATTGAAAGTGACTTGCATAAAATTTAAATCTACAATTGAAACTCCTATATTGGCAATTGTTGTTACCTATATATGTAACTCATCTTCGATAGAATTTTGTGAGACCTAGTTATAATTAAATTAATTTTTTGGGTTCAAAGCATCGTTCCCCACATTCTGTAATTGAAACACTGGTGCGTTGGCTGATGAACTTTACATTCTTATTGCATGTGTGCGATCCATCCATAGATTAAAAATTAACCAAATCATTTGCATAGCTTTGAGGCTTATAATAGGAAGTATGATATGATGCAAACAAAAAAAATGATTTTATTTTAACCTTAAAATTGTTGATTTGATTTCTCAATCTTCGAAAACCAGTTAGGCAAGATAATAATTTGGAAGTGCACAAGTGAGTAATCGGTTTATATTAAAAATAATCTGTATAATTCAAATAAAAAAATGACAATAAAATCTCTTTGAATTATATAAATGATATTTTGGTCCCTCGAAATGCCATAATTTTTCTGAAGTCTTTAAAGACTTTTTTAGCACTAAAAAATTAATATAAATGATCAAATTATCTTTAGTTTAAGATTTCAAATGCAAAGTTACGAATTATTATTACATTCTTTCTATTTTAAGAAAAAAAAGTTCACATCTTAAAACAAAATTTATTAATAGCAATTGATATTTGCAATACCTGAAAAATATCATGATTTTAAATGCGAACTTACAAATTGTTGTTGATTCTTGCGATTTTCAGGGAAAAAAAATTGTAAATCTTAAAATAAAACTTGTGAATGACAATTAATATTTGAATTAAGGGCAATTTGATCATTTATACCAATTCTTTAATGAAAGAAAAGTTCTCTAAGACTTAAGAGAAATTATAGCATTTTGAAGGATTAAAACATTTACATAATTTAAAGGGGTTTTATTGTCATTTTTTCATTCAAATATATGATTTTTTTTATTTTTTTTTATTTTGGAAGAAACAAAGTATACAATAAAGAAAGCATTTCATTTTCAAATTTCTGACTTACAAGAAAAAAAACATTTCATTTTCACCAAAATGTATTTTATGAAAGATAAAAGATTATGTTGATCATATGTTTCATGTCTTTTAAAAAAATCAAATAAAAATAAATTATAAGAAGAAAATATTTAAAACATAAACCGGTAAAGAATGATGATTTAAATAATTCTGCCAATAAGCTTTTATTCATAAAATTCTAATCTTAAAAAAAACATTTCATTTTCACCAAAATGTATTTTATAAAAGATAAAAGATTATGTTGATCATATGTTTCATGTCTTTTAAAACAATCAAATAAAAAAATTATAAGAAGAAAATATTTAAAACATAAACCGGTAAAGAATGATGATTTAAATAATTCTGCCAATAAGATTTTATTCATAAAATTCAATCTAGCAATCTTTAAAAAATATAATCACGAGAAGGATTGCAATTCTAATTCTAACTCCTACTACCTCCAGTCCTATTTATAGAATACATTCTAGAAGTTTCATTTTATTCTATTTATAGGTTATGATCTGAATTTTTAGGTGATATTTGAAAAATATTTTTAAAATGATCCTTCATAAAAAAAATAACATAACATCACTTTTTAAATTTTTATAAAGGAATATACTTAAAATTTTATACACTTTTATTTTTTTTATATTGATAAAATTAATAAAAATGACTTATAAAAAATATAAGAGAGAACAACATAGAGCATTGTCCTCAAACGAAAGAGACGGTGCATTTTTCTTTCCTCGCCAACTAGCCACAATTCCATGCGTTGCATGGATTATTTAGTTATACTTGTCAACAAAATACATTTTACATAATGTTGATTAAAAATAAGGTAAAGGGGCAAATATTCATACAAAGTGATCAACTAGGGGCACCTAGTATTCTAAAGTGAGAAAAATGACAAAAATACTTATAACATTACATGAGCAAGTGCAAAAGTGATCAAACCATTAACCTTAATGTCGTTAATTTTGATTGTTAATTGCTGACTGTGTATGCCACTTGTTAACCTTTATTGACGTTGACTAATAAAGGAACAAAAATACCCACAAAGTCATCGGTCAAGAGCAAAAATACTTATAACGTTATTAGAGTTGGTGCAAAAATGATCAATCTATCAAATCTCTTAAATATTAACCGTTTAGCTGACATCTAAGTGAAAGTTGACTATTTTTCATTGATGTAGACCAAAAATATTTCTAGATGAATTTTTACGGATGTTGATCAATCATCATATGAGCACTTATAATTAGTGACCAATTTGTCAAAATTTATGCCACTTGGTTTTTTTCCATCTTCACATATTTCACCCCTTCCTTCCTTCCTTCCTTTCCACTCATTTTTTTGCCTACAAAACCTGATATTCAACATAGTGAGATAAGTTGTACACATTTAAAGATCGAGACTAAGCACACTTCCTACATCGCGCTACCTTAAGTACATTGTTACAACTTTAAGCAATTTCATTCATGATAGGTTTAAAATTTTTAAATGATTTTTGTCACTATTGCAAAGAAACAAGCGATTTAATTTGATATTGGGTCAAACCGACATTTTTTCACATGATATTTATATAATAATCAATTAACCTCTAAATAATTTCATTTGAGAATATTTTTTGTCAATGTCAGTAAAAAAATGGTCAACTTTTAGTTAGGTATTAGCTAAACCGTCAACATTTAAGAGATTTGATAGATTAATTACTTTTACATCAATTCTGATAGCATTATAGATTTTTTACTCCTAGCCGACAACTTCATAAATATTTTTACCCTTTTATTAGTCCACGTCAACAAAGGTTGACATGTGATATGCACAATCATCATTTAACCGTCAAAGTTAACGGCATTAGATCAAAGTTAACGGTTTGATCCCGTTTGCACCCACTCATATAACGTTATAAGTATTTTTATTCTTTTCCTCATTTTAAAATATTGGGTGTCCTTGACTGATCATTTCGTGAGTACTTTTGCCCCTTTATCCTTAAAAATATATAAAATGTCACAAAGTAATATACAAAATTAATGATTGTGAAGCAATGTTTCATGATTCAAAATGTTAATGATAAAATATATTAATTTTGTTATGTCAAGAAAATCAAAAAATTGGAAGGTTAGATGTTTTGAAAGGTGTATTTGTGCATTATATTAATAATACCTGACAATCTCTACGCAGAAAAATTTGCAATCCCACACTAAATTAGAAAAATGTATACTTACTTTCTTGTTAAAATTACACTTTCCTTCTTTAAAATTGTAATTAATTCCATAAAAAATTTTTGCCTTCTTTAAAATTGTAATTAATTCCATAAAAAATTAAGGGGCTTTTATAGATATAACTTATGTTATAGGACCAAATCAAACAAACAACTCAACATTTATTATTTTTTGCATTATAGCTGGTTTATTATATTTGTTAATGATACACTATTGTATATCAATGATAAACTTTTTATAAATTTTTTAAACATTTAATAATAAACTTCTTCTATATCATTGATAAATTTCTTGTATATTAATGTGAACTGGCCATACTCTCAAATTTTTAAACATTTGGTTCATATTTTTTGGTCACAAAATTTTTTTTGGCTAGTGTGTAATATCCAAAAAAAATTAAACATGATTAATTAGCTTAATGAAAATCATTAGTGTATTGATGAGTGTGATTAGTGAGTTACAGAGGTGTATGGCTAGAGGGGTCTAATTAGTGTAATTTCAACCCTAGATACAGGTCTGGAGTGAAGTTTGGTCATTTGAGCAATGAAAGAGGAAGAAAAAATAAGAAGAAGCTCTCTGTGCCACATGTTGCAATGCGTGAGCAATCCGTTGTGGCTCACAAAGGCAATCAGGCATGTTTTAGGCTTCTCTGTGCCAAGCATTACGATGAAGGGCAATGTGCGCAGTGGCGCACGGTTAAAAATATGCTTAAATCAATGCGTGTCTATGCAAGAAAACAGAGATGAGTAAAGGGAGAAAACAAAAGAACACGATTGGGCTATACTAGGGCACATACATTAGAACCCTTGAGAATAGTTTAAAGCTTCCCAACACCTAAGGTAAGTATAATGAGCAACCTTTTCCTTCTACTCCCATGTTTATGAAGATTTAAGTTAGAAGATTGATTTTCGATCCCTATGAGTTATGGGTCCGATCCTATTAATTAAGATGGTAATAATAGGAGTGGTTTAGAATATTTAAATCCTACATTAATGATTTTGTGTATGGTTAGTTGGGTAGAGCCATTAATATACAAAAATTATAATAAATGAGGTTGTCAGAGGGGTTTATGGCTCATTAATGGTGATTTATTGATTCCTTGAAGTCAATGTAAGTCTATAAAACTAGTGAACCCATTGGACATGAATAGGTAATGAATTTATGTGAATGATAGAATAGAGAATTTAGAAATTAGTGTTAATAAGTTCCTTAAAGTGGAATAATGATGTTATCCTTGGGAAATTGATTCTAGATCATTATTATTGACACCTTTGAGCTCGTGTGAAGCTTTAAAAGTTAGTATTTAAAAGGATAAACATTTAATTTCTCAAAAGTTTAAGGTAATCGGGAGAAACTTAATTTATATAGTTGAATATTAATTGTTTATTTACTTAGAATTGGTTGATATTTTTAACTATTATGTTTGGCAAAATGATGAACTTATGAATTGTGGCATGAATTTGAAAATAGAAACCTTTGGCAAGCCATCTCTTTGAAATTTATGATTTGAAAAATGGCTAATCATTGTGATAATGCTATGTGTTCTTATATACATGTGAATAATGACGATGATTGAGAATATGTGAGCATGTATTAAGGGATATGTGGATTATAATGGTGAAAAAGATTTTTATGTGCTTGATGCGATAAGAAGATTATATCAATGACATTAATTGTCATAAGTGCATAATATGTGTCAAATATGCATGGCATGATCATTGATGAGAGTTCGTCTAAGAAGAAGAGTAGTTGATTAAACCCATATGATATTGGCAATGATCGTTAGAATCAAAAACTCACCTTGGCACCGATTGTTGGAATCGAGAGGTAGACTTGTCCCATGGTTGATTCGAGACTGTCTCACTTGTTCTATAAGGAACTCAAACCTAATTAGACTCCAACGATTCATGAGGAGGATAGATTAAGAGTATGACACCCCATAATTATTAGTATTAGGAGAAACCAAATTATACAAATGAGTGAGTTAACCTTGGCCTGATAGCTCTTCATAAGTAGAAGACTGGGTTAGTCCGTGAAGGATGTAGCCACCGAATAGCCACTAGTTTTATGTCGAAAGTAATAGGAGGATATAAGATTGACATTTAATCATGCATTTAAATTCAACTACTTGGCTATTATTATTGTGGTCTAATATGTGTTAATGGCGCATGGTTGGAATTATTATGACCCTATGATGTGCATTGTGATTTATGTGATGATATGTGGGTTAGGCTCGGTCACATGATTGTTAGTATTGTAGATCGTGGCCAAGTTCATCACGTCTTATAATTTTGTGTTTTTGTTTAATCGCATCTGTTTTCAATTAATATGCAACTGTATAGATTAACTGAAACTTGGTTACTAAGTAGTTATACTCATCTCTCAATTCCCAATATTTTTATAGCCTAGTTTATCAGATCAAGATCAGGGAAAACACATAGAGGCATAAGATTTGTAAAGTAATCCTTTTGCATGCCTCTCATTGTTCTTTTATGTGTATAAATGTTGATATAATTGCCAACTAGGAATCACATGATCTTTTTGTACTACTTGCATTACTATATTGTACAACTTATGTATTTTGTACCTTGGATTAGTGAGCTTTGATTGTAAACCCTTAAATAGGGCTAAAATATTTATGTAAGTAGGAATATGTATAATTTAACTGATTTAAAATGAAAATGAATATTTTGTGTAAGAAATTCCTCCCATTTATGTTTTGAGAAATTTGGGGTTGAGTGGTGAAATTAAGGTTTATATGTTTTTGCTTGAGTATGGTGTGTTGAATGAGTCCACTAGAGTTCTTTGAGTGTGGTCGAATGATCAGTGTAGTTTTTTGGCACTTGTGTTTGAGTTAGAACATCATTATTGTGAGTTTTATGTGAAAAAGTGACAAAATAGGTTTGATATCCAAATCTTTATAGAAAATGAATTTGAGTGTAAAACTTGTGCTATTAGTTAGAGTTAGGAGAAAATAGATACTGAAACCACCTCAATCGAATGTTGAATAGAGATTTGAAATGTGTCGAAAATTCACTATCGCTGCTATCAAATAACAGTAGCTGTTTGCTATCAAATTTCGTGCAATGTGCCGTGGCACAAGGTGCATCATGCCATAGCACATGGCATAAAGATGAGAGCCACAGTGCACAAACCTTTAGCCATGATGTATGTCACATTTTTTTGCACAATTTCACTATTTTGAGTTTTGGAACTCAATAGTTTAGGTCCCATATGTTTTTCGGATTTTTGCATTTCTTTAAAACTTTGATTTGATCAATGTGTGAGTTTATGGGACAGATTTAATTATTGAAAGGGGGGATCCCATTTTACATGTTTAGTGAATCGTTCTTTTCACTGAAATTTTGAAAAACTTGTTTCTTTCAATTGTGAATTATGAAAACTTGATAATTTTTAGTGGGTTTAGTTTCTTAATTACCTCGATTATAGAGTTATTTGTGGTTTAGTAAGAAAAACCTTACACATTTGGCCTCACTAACTTTAAAATGATATTGCATGCATATTTGAAAATATTGTTTACTTTTATATTTATTATAAAAATAAATTTAAGATACAAATGAAATTAATAAATACTCTAAAACTTCTCATATAATTTATTTTTATATTACTTTAATTAATATTTAAAATTATAATTTTTAAAAAATATCAATATTTTTTTATGTAATTTTACTGAAAAAATTATACTCCTTTTGTTAAAAAATATAAAGCATTTTTAAACGAACCCCACCTCCAATAAAGTAGTTACATACCTTCAAATTAACCTTATCTTTTCATATTTATTTCTATTAAATATCTTACAATAAATATAAAATTATTATTAATAGAAGCACTTTTCGAAAAAGACAATGATTATATCTTAAAAGATTAAAAATATTTTAAATTTTTTAACAAAAAAAGTATAATATAAGTTCTCGAGAACTTTAAAGTAATGATTATATTTTGTGATACTTATTTGTCACTAACTAATTTCAATGAGGGTTATTTACAATTCTCCCTTTATTTTTGTTCCCACGATATCAATCATTTAAAAGTATAGAGGTATATTTCCTCAAGGTCAACATAATTGTTTTGATAATTAAAATCATTGTAATTTACTAAAAAATATATTAAAAATAATCCTTAAGCTATAGATTCGAAATTAAATAACTAATTATTATTTTATATTTTAATGGGAAATAGTTTTATTCCCATTTAAACTTCCAATATGAATAATCTTTTTTTAAATTTAAATTAAGTGAGATGGCAAGTTTAAATATTTGTCTATAAACATGTAAAGTAAATTATCTACTTATTATGAATCGTTCTACTGACTCCCGTTATAATATATATTTATTCATGAATATATAATGTAACATATATAATGTTTATTATACAATGTTATATTATATAATATATTATATTGGAGATTTTTATTTATTTAGATTTTTTTACTTAGATTGATGACTAATTCAATATAATGGACGTTAGTTTACCAAGAATAGTGTTAACTTACTTTTTTCCCCAGATGTTACCTTACTAATTCTATAAGTTCATATTATATAAATATTAATAAATATTTCTTTCAATTTAAAATATAAGTAGTTTTTCGTAAAAATTCATATACCAATAAATTCTTGTTCTCAAAAAAATTAATTTGTTTCCCTTTTTACCCATATTTATAATCTATAATTAGTGATAAGAAGATCATAAATTTACAAATATGAAAATGATCTAAATTAATAAATATAAGAGGTAAAATAAGAATTTTATTTATAAATATTAAGTTTGTATTTTAGATTTCACATTAACAGAAGAAAATGCTTTTATATTGATGATGCATACATGAGAATTCTTTGGTAGACATCAGCAGAGACGTTGAGCTCAAGGTTTCTATTGACAAAACACCGACCTCGCACACTGCCATGGAAATCAGAAGTCAAAGGAGCAGCTGTCAATTTTGAATCTTCATGATAAGGGGTGGTTAAGAACAAATGGCAAAAGGCTTTGTCCATCTTTTTCTATCCAATAGGTTTTCTCCATCTACTTCAAAATTATTCTTTAGGAGGTGCGCGCAAGTTGCAGTTCTAGAGACATCCAACCGACAGTGTTTTTTTTTTTTTTAATTTTTATTTTTTAACTATGTGCACTGCAATACGCAAACCCTAACTTAATGGTGTGTGAAACTTAATTTTCTCTTATTATACACTGATTTTTTTTTTTTTTGGGTTGTTGCCATAAAAACAAATCTAGCTAATCTGGATTTGATTTAGACAATTTAAATTTTACACAAACACATTTTGAAATGTTAAAATTTCAATTTTAGAAGTAAAATGTATAATAAAAAAAAATCTTATAACTGTACTTCAAAAAAAAATGATTAAGAAGTAAAGGGACCTCTATAATCTTGACTGTCCAAAATTCGATCTATATGGCCTAAATTTGCAACATAATAACAGTACCATTGTGTTGTTTTACACGATAGCCGATCATTGGTTTACTCCCCCACGCCCTATGTATATATTGTAAAGGTAAATTTTATACATTTAAGATGTTTATTTTTAATTAAATCAAGACATGCGCATATTTTATCACACTCAATTTGTTTATCAAACTAAAATAAGTCTCACACTTACATAGAGCTTCAAATAAGTCTTACCACACTTTCTATATTTTATTCTGATATTAATAAGTTCTCTCTTTTTAGCAGGCCGTTGTTTACTAATGAGCATCCAAAATCTAACTTAATTACTTTTCCATATTTTCAGAGCAATCGTGGTGGCTTCCGAATTATTTCCTAGAGGTAGCTTGCCCATAGATTTTCTCGTGCTTTTTCTTTATTGCTGCTGAACAAAGGGCACGATGACTATATCTGATGGGTCTAGATTGGCGTGCCAAAGCCATGGCTTATTCTTCTAGTTGATTATTTTCCATTACAATAGTATAGCAGTAAGAGAAAGCAAGTCATCGCGAAAGTCAACACCAACGTGACTTGGGCCTATCCTGTATCATTTGGAAGCAGAACTTCATGCAGCCAAATCCTTCTTAGATTTGAGCCAGGGGGGAAAAGCAAGCAGGACATGGCAGAGTACGTGGTATCATATGTTGTGGAAGAGCTTGGTGAATTGCTCATTAAAGAAGCCGTTTTCTTATATCGGGTGACAGAGAAAGTGAGGCAACTGAGATCCGAATTGAGGCTGATCCAGTCTTACCTGCAAGATGCAGATAGAAGGCAAGATGAAGATGAAAGACTGCGGAATTGGATTTCAGAAATCAGAGAAGCTGCATATGATTCTGATGATGTCATTGAGACATATGCTCTTAGAGAAGAATCAAGAAGACGCAGGGTCGGTATCCTGGACATCATCAAGAGGTATGCTGGTAAAGAATGCTTTGAGATTTACCAGGTGGGATCTAAGGTTGATGAAATCATTCTAAGGATTTCTAACCTCACTAGATATTTGAAAACATATGGCATAAGACCTGAAACAGGAGAGTCCTCAAGTTCTACGCAGGGGAGGCAGAAGGCTTTGAGGAGGTCTTACTCTCATATAATTGAAGAGGACATAATTGGGGTGGAAGAAGATGTAAAAATTTTGAAATCACATCTGGTGAGTCCTGAAAAAAGTTGCAGAGTAGTTGCCATATGTGGAATGGGGGGTTTAGGGAAGACAACATTGGCCAAGAAGATATATCACAATACTGATGTTAGACATCATTTTGAGAGTTTTGCCTGGGCCTATGTATCTCAGCAATGCCAACCTAAGGATGTGTGGGAAGGGATTCTCTTTAAACTGGTCCCTCTTTCTAAAGAGCAGAGAGAGGAAATTATCAGCATGAGGCTTGAGGAGCTTGCAAAGATGCTTTACCAAGTTCAAATGGAGAAGAGATGCTTGGTGATCCTTGATGATATTTGGAGTGTGGAGACTTGGAACATTCTGAGTCCTGCCTTCCCAAATGGAAGAGGAGAATCTGGCAGCAAAATATTGCTTACTTCTCGAAATACAGATGTTGCACTGCATGTAGACCCCACGTGTTTCCTTCATCAACCAAGGTGCTTAAATGAAGATGACAGTTGGGACTTGTTCCAAAAGAAGGCATTCCCCATAAAAGATGATCCGGGTTTGTGAATTCTTCTTCATCACCTACAATTGATGTTTTAACTTTTATCTATACTTGCTATACAGTTAGTATTGATTAGCTTTCCAGTTTTACAATTCCGAAGCTTCAGACTCTTTATTCTGTTTTACACCTTTCTGTATCATGTCCGGAAGGCGAGTAAAATTGAGGGAAACAATGTATTTGTTTGGAGCCTACCAACTTAACTTAGTAATCTTAGGCATTAAACGTTCCGCACAAGTTTATTTTTTGACCAAGAAAGACACCAGAAATCACTAGAAATTCCTGGCTTCCTGCTCTTGTTCTCAATAACAAAGAATCAGAAGTTCATAAGACCAGGCCTTACACTTACAGCTAGAGATCTTCATCTTCATATTACAGAGAAGAAAATCATAACCTAAAATTTCATATCAAATCTCATATGGTTAAATGAAATCACAACTGTATTAAACATTAAACATTTTAATTAAATTACTTTATCAAAATAACTCCGAAAGAGCATGCATATAGAGTGAATTATGATCTGAAATGTCCTCTATTAGCATAGATACCCTAAAAGGGTATGTATCTTTTCTAGTTAGACAGCCTCTCTGAGCAGAGTGATCATGGTTTTTTCATAGCTTTGCCGCAAATATGGCGTGACAAAGTTTAGACAGTCTTAATTGGCCAATATAGTGACAGAAGTCCTCCAATGTATCATGTCCCCAAAGGAATAAAAACTGCCTAAGTGCATAAAGAAATGAAGATCATACCCTCTTCAATTTGGCGAGCAGTTTCTCTTCCATTTGAGTCAATAATTATAGATTCAATTTTATGGGGTTAAAATTTGACCATGAGTGAAACTCTGGTAGCCTAACAGACTAATCGTTATTTTGCTTTCCACAGACTTCACCATTAACATAGAGAAAGAGAAGCTGGGAAGAGAAATGGTAGGAAGGTGTGCAGGTTTACCATTGGCCATTATTGTGCTTGGAGGACTCTTAGCAACAAAGCCTACACTCGAGTACTGGGACACAGTGCGTCAAAACATTAATTCCTACTTGAGGAGAGAAAAAGGGCGGGAGCAGCTCTTAGGAGTGTCTAAGGTGCTTGCTCTAAGCTATTATGAATTGCCATATCAACTGAAACCATGTTTCCTACATTTAGCCCATTTCCCAGAAAATATTGAGATACCCACCAAGAAACTAATCAGAATATGGGTGGCAGAGGGGTTGGTTCAGAATGAAGTAGGAGGAGAGGAAAACATGGAGGATATGGCACAACGGTGCTTGAATGAGCTGGTTGAGAGGTGCATGATTCAGGTGGTGCAAAAGAGTTCAACAGGAAGAATGAGAACTTGTCAAATGCACAACCTTATGAGGGACCTGTGTGTATCAAAGGCAAAAGAAGAAAATTTTCTTGAGATGGTTAATTCCGGGCATATAAATGAACCAACAGATTGTTTTCATTTACCCGTAATCCACAGAGCAAAGTCTATGGGTAAAGTTCGTCGGATTGCTCTTTTTCTGGATCATAATATTGATAGGCTCTTCCCTTCACAATTGAAAAGCCATCTCCATCTTAGGTCTCTTATCTGCTTTCATGAAAAGGCAGCTCAGCTTTGTGAATGGAGGATAATGAAATCTGTTTTCAAAAATTTCAAGTTACTCAGAGTCTTGGACTTGGAAGGATTACATGGTCAGGGAGGGAAGTTACCAAAAGAAATTGGCTACTTGATCCACCTGAGATTTCTTAGTCTAAGAAATACAGATATTGATGAGTTGCCACCAACAATAGGCAATCTGAGGTGCTTGCAAACTCTTGATCTTCTGACATGGAATTCAACTGTACAAATACCCAATGTAATATCGAAGATGCAAAGATTAAGACACTTGTATCTACCAGAGTCGTGTGGTGATGGCACTGAAAAGTGGCTATTGACCAATCTGAGAAATTTGCAGGCCTTAGTTAACTTCCCTTCAGATAAGTGTGATGTAAGAGATCTTACTAAACTAACCCATTTGAGAAAACTGGCAATAGTTGATCCCACATTTGGGGACATATTTGAATCTCCAGCTGTGAAATTTGGCCGCCTTGAATCTTTATTTTTTGTCTGCACTGAGGATACTAACGTTCCTCAAGTTGCAGCAGGATGTCCTAATCTATATAAGCTTCATATAGAAGGGCCTATAATAAAGTTACCAGAACATCACCAACTTTCCTCCAAGCTTGCCAAGCTGAAATTGCAGGGATCCAGACTTAATGCAGATCCAATGGAAACACTAGGGAAGCTTCCCAGTTTGAGGTTCCTTGAATTACAAATGGATTCCTTCATGGGAAAGGAATTAGTTTGTGCTAAGAAAAGTTTCCCTCAGCTTCAGTCTCTGGTTTTTGGTGACTTGACCAATTTTGAAGAGTGGAAATTGGATAAAGAAGCCATGCCTAGTCTTTGCAGACTACAGATTTCAAGCTGCACTAAGCTTAAGATGGTTCCAGATGGGCTAAGGTTGGTGACCACTCTTCAGGAGTTGGAGATTAGATCAATGTTTCAAGTATTCAGATCCAAACTTGAAAAGGGAGGAGAAGATCATTATAAAGTCCAACATGTACCAAGCCTGGTCTTTCATTATTGTGACTACTAATTTGAGATGGCAATTTCAATAGCAAGCCAGTCTGGCTAGAACCCACTCTAAATGAGCCAAGAACAACTGGGTCTTCTGCAAATATAAATAATATGTGGATGCAGTCCTACAAATCACAGGTACTTTTAAGAAGGACCTGTGTTCATCCAAAACAGGTCGGATCCTCTCAGACACCTTGTAAATTACAAGTTACTCCTTGGATTTTACCATATGGCCATGCTAATGTCATTGTTGTGTCTTGTATTTGTGCCAATGTCCGTACTTTCTAGATGTAATATTTGTCATTTTTTGTTGCTTGTTCAGAATAAGTGTTTGATATGTTTTCATCTCTATATAGTATAATAATTCTAACAAATCATACTATTCAAAAATCATGAATAATGCAGTTTATTTATTAAATTCCCTGCAACGCATAGGACTCACTAATTTAGAAAAGCCAAGTTATATATTTGCATTAATAAAGTTCACTTTATTCAATATATATCAGAACAATCATTTCTTACACAATCATTTATACATAAATTCTCTTTTTTAATCGCCCAAAACTTAATTTCTGCATGCTAGTCAACGGCTTTTTGTAGAGTGATAGTAAGAGTCATTACAATTAATTAGCATATTGAAAATATGTTAATATCCTGGAATCAATACACAACTGGTTGTCCAGAAAAACACATAAAAGGAATGCATGAACTTGGTATAGTTCATCCATTTAATAGTGCTCTTCAATCTCTCAACTCATCCGTGTCATTGAACTTAGCTATGCCCTGACTCCTGGATGAGTCTATGCAATCTCTTGGATTTACAAAACCATATTAACTTACTCCACAAAATGCATGCGTGCTCCTTTAGTATTTTATTTAGTAAGGAATAAACGTCTAACACCATTGCCCATTCTCCAGTTATGACTTTTTTTCACTTTGCACTGGATGAGTTATTCAAGTTTGTTTAGAAGTTTTTAACATGGGATTTACAAAGGAAATTTTTCCTTCAAAGATTTTTTTTTTTTTTTGGGTATGGATTCCGGTCATTTTGGTTGGCTAGGTATACAGTTGTTTAAGCATTGCAGAGGGTTTCGGTAATGTATATAGAATTTGTTCAAATTAGTTAAAGGGAAACCAAAGACAGGGAGCGAGTGGTTTTATTGAGATCTTCTGGTCTTGAAGGGAATCGCACAGACGCATTGGTGATGGAAAGTTCCTCGTGAACATTGGATGAAATTGAACCTAGAAGGTCCTGCATACATAAGAGTATCGATGAGTAGGATTAGTAACTAGTAAGAATCAGTTAGTTGTCTAGTTTGCTGGAGAGGCCAGCTCTATTTGTTAAAGAGAAGGATGTTCAATTGGAACGGTGTGAATGAATTGAATAGTGTTGTGTTTGTTCACACTTTTAATGTATCAGGTACTCAAAAAGGACATCATTGAGTCTGTTGTGATAGCTCTAGTGCTTGGATTGTACGTTGTATAAGGTTAGGTCCCGGGAGTGTTTTTGAAGTACAATTTTGTGGCGTTAACTAATATGGACTCTGGAGCTGGCTTGGAGGTTATGTTAAGAAGGTTTGAATTGAGATTGATACACAATGTTTAACTTGTAGTTTGGTATCTTTGTTCTTTGGCACAAATCAGATTCTGGTTCGCTAACTAACCTAATTTAAGTCGATCTAGCATTATACCAATTGATTAGCTAAATTAGCCGCAACTAGAATTTTGTTAAAGTTAGAGAAAATATGTGTGCGTGTGCGTGTGTGTGTGTGTGTGATTTATATTGGAAGCTCAACGCAGTGGTCTTCAAGCAATGAAAACAGAAACAATCTCAACAGATATTTTGCATCTTAAATTCAACTACGAACCCCTAAATAACTCGAGCATTATAACTCAAAGGAAAAGGTATAAAATAACTGAAAAGGAATTACAATTATATATAATATTACCTCGATGACGCTCCGACAGATACGAAAGGCAAGACAAACACCTCGAGGAGAGACTAGAGAGACGCAGCAGTAGGTTCCAGGAACTCAGCTTGAATGACAGAGAACTGCAACCGAATAAAGCGTTAAACATCAAAGAAAAAATACATAACTTAGTTCTCTAAAACGTATATACTTCTTCACAATTTCTATAATAACTAGCACTAAATGATCAGCTCAACAATCTGTATTTGCTAGCCTCATATTGTATCTTTTTTAAGATAATTAATTTAATTGCGATCCAAAACTAAACAGCTCAATAGCATAATCAAGGTGACACGTTAACCATACAACAGCACAAATCAAGCAAGAAGCAGGGTGTGTGCGAAGAAAACAACTAGTATCTAAAACATGGTGACAAACGACATGCTCGACGACAAAGTAAGCAGAAAAATAAGAGAATTGCGAAGAAAACAAAAATGTGCAGCCATAAGATTCGATTATTATAGCATATGCATTCTACAAATATATACATATCATAAGAAATTGTAGAATACTGCGCTGGTTTTTTGGCGGAGATTATGAAAGCTCCAGATGCCTCTTTAGCCGTAATAAAAAAAGTTATAAAATAAGACATACGCGAGAACCAAATCGAAGCCGTGATCTGAACTACCATACAGCTCTAATCAATGTCAACAAGAGTGAAGACGAGAAGCGCGCAGCGGTGATCGAGCGGTTACGTTCAAGTTTCAACTGTTCAAGAATGAGAGCAAGATGACGAAACTTGGGAAGATAGTGACAGCCTGAAAATGGGCTTTGCAGAAAGCCGGAAGCGATAGATTCCCGACATATCAACCTCTATGTTTATGCTTTTTTCGTTAAAAAAATATAAAATATTTTTTTTAAAATTAAATGTTTAAAAATAAAATATTTTTAAATTTTTTAAAATATAAATTTTTTTAAAATATTCCTATTAATAATAACTTTACATTTATTAGAAAGTGTTTAATATGAATAAATATAAAAAGACACGATTAATTAAAAAATAAGTAACTACTTTATTAGGAGATAAAATTCAGTTAAAAATGTCTCGCATTTTTAACGAAGGATGTATCTCACCCCTAAAATATACTTATATTTAAATTAATATTAAAAAATAATTTTTCATATTTATTTTTTAATAAAGTATTTCACTTTAAAATAAATATAAAATAATTTTTATATTATGAGTACTTTTAGAAAAACACATGAATTACACTTTAAAATATTAAAAATATCTTACATTTTTAAAATCTAACCCTTAAAAAATATCTCATATTTTTAAATGAAGGAAGTATTTTTATTTAAAACTTATTTGTAGTTCTTTTATTATTTAAAATCTAATTGTTCATTGTTTATTATTCTCTCCATTGCTAAATACAAATAAATTTTAACTCACACACAATTAAAAAAATATTCATTTTAATAATTATATCTGAAGTTAAAAAATTTAAATTAAAATGTTCTTGTAATTAATCATTTATTTTTTCTAATTTAATGATACTATTATGAAGAGTAATTAAAGAAATACTCCCTACCTATCATTTTTTTATATAAATAAAATATCTTATTTCAATACACATTTATTACATATTTTTTAAATTATCTCTCATAATTTACATTTATGAGAAATAATTAATGTATGCTTATATTAATTAATATAAGGTATTTTAGTTTTTTTATTCTTAGACCTAATTATTATAATTAACTAATTTTTTTAAATTATGTGATATAATTTTTTATATATAGAAATGGAGGAAATATGTTGTGAATGTTTCTTGAAATTTTTTTTATTAAAAAAAATAATATAAAATTTTTTATTTATATTTAAAAACGGAATAGGAATTTGATACTAATAAATTTTTCCTTACCCAAAAATCGGTGGAAACATACATGGGGCAGCTCGAATTTAATCCCAATCCGATGTTTGACCCCATTCACGTTGGGCTTAGACCCAAGGGCCAACGTAGCCCAAAGTGTATTGAAAGGAAGTGAGAAGGGGGTGGGGGATCGGCACTGAAAGGAAGGAAGAGACTTTTTGGTTTTGGGCACACAGAAAGGAAAAGATATTGACTCGAGAGAGACAGAGAGAGAACACCATGTTTTACTCCCAGCATGATCTATTTTTATATTACGACACATCCAATAACTGATCATCATACCCATTTGTATTACACTTCTCTGCCATTGAAGTCTCACCCAAATGAAGATTTTTCTCTCTCTTTTCCTTATTAGATCTCAGTGTAAACAAAGCAAGCTCCTCCCCACTGGGGTTCCTTGCTTCCACAGATTAATTATACAAAAACGCATCCCACTTTCTGATTTTTATTTTTTTCTCAACAAGGAAACACAACCACCTTGGATAAGGGTTCAAACTTCAAAGATTGCTCTATCCCAAGACGAAGGAAAGGTAGAGAGAGAGAGAGAGAGAGAGCGAGCTAAAAGGACAGTTAATAATTAAGGATATATATATATATATATATGTATATATGAAAAACAGATATATACAACCAGCCAAATCATCAGGTTCTTCACAATTGATAGTTGGGAGGGCAATTCAATGCGATATATAGTACCTTCACCAAAGTGGAGACTCTGGATCCCTTTCTCTCTCCCTGGACCCCCCTCTTCTTCAACTCCATAATTGGCATAACCTTTCTCATTTTTCGTCATATACATTCCTTTTTCTCTTTAGGGCTCAATTTAATTGTTTTTTGCACAGTTTTCTCTGAAAATATATCCAGTAAACATGAATGTTGGATTGAATCCATCACCCACCCACCAACCGCTCTTACAGAAAAATGTGAACGAACAACTTTGGACCCTGTATAACTTCAACTCAGAAATACATTCATAAACAAATATAAAGGATCAAATCATCCACTATTTAATTACCTACACAAACATTGAGAAGCAGACTAATAATTATACTACCAACCGAGAAAAACAATTGATATAGAGATATACATATATACTGATCCTCATCAGCTGTCAATTACTGGTGTCAGGTTAAGAGCTTGCTTTGATCTTCTTAGAAGAAGCTGGCAAGAAGACAGAAGCCAGATCGTGAGGTACTTGGAAGAACATCTGAGAAGGCGAGGCTACGACGACGTTTCTGGGAGCCACTGCTACTGCAGCAGCAACTCGCCTTGGCTTCTTGGGAGCAGGTGGACACACCAATGGGGTCCTCAATGTTCGAGAAGGTGAAGTGGGTGTGTGGCAATCGTCTTCCTCCTCATTCTGCTGCGAAGACAGCCCCTTTCTCGCAATTGCATGGGTCCGTACGGGCGTGATTGGCCAGAATTCTTCTAACACTTCCAGTTCAACGCCCATGGATCTGCTAGCTGCTATACCTAGATCTCCACTCACAGTATCAGACTTCACTGATTTGGTGGGTTATATATCATAAAAAGAGAGAATTGAACTGATGAACTGTGTGAGCGGGTTTTGCCGCGAAGGATGAGGAGGTGAGGGAGAGAGAGAGAAGAGAGGCGTGCAGAGAGAAATGAGAGGGTGATGATGATGAGGGGTGCGGAAAGAGAGACAGATATAGGAGAGAGAGAGAGAGTGTGGAGGAGAAGGTGGGGGTGGTGTGGGGTACAGGTGGGAATGATGAATAAGGAAAAATGTCCCAACAAATTGATGTTCACAAGCAGACAAACCAAAATTTTCGGCTATTATTCACTCATTAAAAAAAACAGTAAACCACGAAAATGTTTTCTTTCTGCTCTACTGTAATCTTAGTCCTTAGCTCTTAACATTCTAGATGGCTATAGTGTAGGTTATATATATAAATATAAAGAATAGTGGTTAATTAACTTGAGGGAGGGTGTGAGAGAGGGAGGAGGAGGTTGGGGGGAACGGAATATTGAAATGATAGGTGTTGGGTTGGTATGGGAGTGAGTGTAACAAAGTTGAAAAGGCATGCAGAAGCAGAGGCAACGAAACCTTATCTGACACAAAGACAGATTGATAGCTTCTCTTCATGTGGACGTCCCACCCTGCACCACTCTCTCCTTGTGTCCCTCCGATCCTTTTGTCTTCCTCTTCCTCATTTGCTTTCTTCTTTCCTGTCCCTTCCTCCACATTTCATCAAACCTACGTTATATTCACACACACACACAAGTAGTCAGCCTATTAATTAATTGCCTTTCATTTGTTGTCTGTGATCTTTGTTCTCTTAAAATAGCATGATATATATATATCAACAAGCTTGATGAGACTTTTAAGGCATTGGATAGGCTTTCAAGGCTTAAATAGTGAAATAATAATTAAAAAAAAAAGTAGAGACTGAACATTGAAGCAGCATCCTTTAAAGTGTAAAATCTCGTGGAGTTAAATTAAGTAGATAGACACTTTCCCTTTTAGCAAACATATACTCTCTCTGTTCCTCACCAAAATTAAGGTAAGTTAGATAGAAAAATAAAATTATCTTAAAATAATTCATTTTTTCAATTTTGCTCCTAAATTTAAAAGTGTGATTTGATATATAAGAAAATTTTGTTTGAGAATTAAAATATTACACTTCTTTTAAAATTTTGGTGGAATGTATTTTTGAATTGTGCATAAAAAATTGCGAAAAACAAATAAAAGTGATTTATATAAAGGATCAAGAAAACCTTTAGAATGTAACTAATATAAAAGACGGGAAAGAATATATACATGCAATGATTATATTGACATATTTTAAGTTTATATATCAGATACGATACTGTAATTTTCGTTCAGACAAAAGATAAATCTGAACGAATCCATAATGATTACTACACTTGGTAGACATGTTTCTGATTAACCGAACCCCGGGACAATACATGTTAGAGAAAAGAAGATTCAGATCAGGCTAAAATTGTAATTTGCTATATGGTAAAATTAAACCACGACCATAGGGCTGTCATGCGTTGAATCAATCTTGTGTGGAGAAGATCGGGATCGGTGTTAGCAGACAAAATGGGATTAGGTTGGAGCCATGTGTGTCTGATGGTTTATATTAATAATTAATATAGGAACCCCCTATGGATATATGTTCTAGCTAGGTTTCACAGGGATAGACAATTAATTAACACACTAGAATACTCCATAAAACGTGGAAGTCACCACTTGTTTGAGCTGTATATTAGTGTCTTCTTCAAGAGCAACACGCTTCCTCTCAGCTGGAATTTACCAGAGCTATGTATGTTCATCAAAAATTGATCATCAGATCAAGTTAATACCTCCCCATTATCATGCATGATACTATCATCGGGGAAAATGTATATAATAATTATATCTAAGAGATCGACACGAAAGGCAACATATGCATAAGGAAATATCCAAGAATGTTTCATATAGCATTCCAATCAAGCAGACCATAAATTATATTTCAAATAGTACAGAAGCTTTTGCATGTCTTAGATCCAAATCAAATTATCGTGAGTTGTGTTTACACGGAAAAGCTGCGCAAGGCACATGTTTTTGTCTATGAAGGAACATGTTTTGAAGGGTAGTAAACTGAAAAGTCTTGAATGAAAAGGCATAAGAAAAATGGGAGTAATGGAAAAAGCAGATAGCCAAGACATGTGAACGAGTATTAAACTAGCCTTTGTGAGGACATAAAGTTGTTTGCTTTGAAGGAAAATAATACGTACAGATATAGAAAATATTGGATCCGGCTTTAAAGAGTTCAAGAAAAAGTCGTCAACGGAGAGACAGGCACATGATGTTGGCGGTGCAGCTGATCATGTCAGCTGGTTAAGTGTAATTTGATCACTCTAGATAGGATATATATTTAATAATTGATTATATTCCTAATTAATTATTCCAGAAGAGTTCCCATTATTCTTAACAGAGTTTTCTTTAAAAAATATTTTATTTTCAGACATGGAAAATAAATTAATTTTCTTTAATAAATTAAACTTGGAAAATTTTATGTTTTTCTATATTGTCTAATTCCGGAAATCAATCCAAGAATTCAATTAAAATAAAAAATCCTTTCTTGTAAATATTTTCAATTGAATAAATAAATAAATAAATTCAGAAATGGAAACTGAAAGTAAAGCAGACTTTGATTGACGATAGATGTTTTCCTGGTCAGTAGAAACTCTAAATTGATGATTAACTGCGTTTCATCTGTAGATATATATTGCCACTATACATATAATACTCCAAATATCCCAAACTATAAGACAATATTGAAAAAATTTATCATTTTATAATATAAGATAATTTGACAAAAATAAAATTTTATTAATAATATTTTTTAATATTACCCTTTAAGTGAAAAGATAATTAAAATGATTACAAATTCAAAATTATTTTAGGTGAAATGTATTTTTAAAATTTTATGTTTTTATTTTAAAAAAAGCATGTAATAGCATTGATGGATGGCTACTTCATGATTTTTGTTTTGGAGAATGATAATAAAATATTTAAAAGATGAATTAATGACAGTTAAATTCATGCAAAAAATTTTATAAAATAAATTATAAATATCAACTCAAACAATTATAAACAAGAATTCAAATTATAAAATAATTGTTATATTTTGATTTAAATATCATATTTTCAATTATAAATTTTAAATTTATAACTATTTGATTAATATTTACAACTGATTTTTAAAAAAAATTATTAAGAATCTAACTATCATTAATTTTGTCATTTGCCTGTTAACTTCCATTCTCCCCTTTTGTTTCAAAGCCGGCCGTAGAAAGTACTCAAGAAATCCGTCTCGATTTGGACTGCGTATGTTTAATTCTTCGTTGACATTCTCACTTTTAAGCAGGGTAAAAATAAAATTGGCTTGACTATGCTGTAGCTAAATTAATCAAAACGAGTTAGCATGTATTAAAGGTCTACTAAAGTCAGAGTGTGACTTGTCAATCCATTTTTTTTTTTTTACCCTTTGGTACTTATGTTTAAGACTGGCCTAACATAAAAGTTTATGAACTAAAATTTAAAAGCCTACTAAGAAAATACTATCTCCTTCTCAAATTATAATATAATTTTAAAGAAAATTTGGCATTATAAAATATAAGACATTTTTAAAAAAATAAGATTTCATGCTGTTCTAATATTACCATCTCTAATATATTCTCTCTCTTTAATTTCTTTTATAAATAAAGTATTAAATAAAAGGTATTTTTAAATGTTTATATTTTTACTTTGAAAAAATAAAATTATAAAATATATCTAATGAGATTTATTGACATGTGTAATTTTATCTAAAAGTGTCTTAGTTAATAAATTAGAATGTATGGAGTATTTTAAAAAAAAAAAAGTAAGGCTATGGATTAAACTATTCAAGATAGCACATTTAGCTCCGTAAAATCGTCAGCGTTATTTTAACAAAATTCTGCACCCAGCAAAGTGAGAATCATATAAAAAGAAAACGTCATATTCCTCTAGATGGTGATCATGAACAAGCTAACTAGTTGATGCAAGAATTGACCTCTTGATGAATTAATTCATGCTCATGGAAAACAAAGCAGTGACATTTAATGATGTTTCTTATCTCCTTCATGATATTCTTTAGAACACATTGCATCATCATTAGTTACATAAAACACCATGATATATGTATTAGATCTATATATCTCAATTCATATAAATAAGTAAACTAATGTATGCGTACCTGAAGAATTCATGAGCGCCTGAGAAAGCTTGATTACCTCGAGTGTAAGCAGGTACACAATACACTAGTCTCCAAAACCTTCAGAAAGTTCAGTGATAATGAAAGTAGAGGAATGAGTCGTGTGTTTGCAATTATGAACTGATCGACTTATATATTGATCAGATCTGTAACCGTCTTATTAAATAAAATAATTAATTTTATTATCTCTGATTCAGTCAGTTAAGAGATAGAAAATAACTGACAGTCATTGGGTTATGGGTTGGGCCTCTATCCATTGGGCTCACTTGTGTGGTCCACCTATCACGATCCACACAAGATTATAAAGATCAATCTGTTTGGGCTCATTGATTAATATTAATCCATAATAAAATTCCAACAATATGTGGTTAAGTTAATTCAAAATTATGAATTAATTCTCAACATGATAGTTTCTAAGAAGTGTGAATTATTATATGAGATTATCTAAACAAAAAACATTGTTGATTTTATATAATTACAGCATGAAGAATCAAAAGACTAATAACTACGGTTTATTTATTATACTACAAAATGTTAAAGAGCATTTTTTTCAAAAATATTCACATGAGATCAATTGACTCCTTAAAATTCAACAATGTGTAGGGCGATTGGCACCCTGGCTTTTGGTTATACCGAATCATGTTGCATCATAGTTACAGTGTCACATAGCTTACAATTTCAATTAAATACATCTGTCAGTATAAAGAAAACCTAACCTCATATTTTCAAGTAATTAATAGGTAGTTAATGATATATATAAGAATGTAATTGATTAAATATTTAAACAAGACCAATTAAAATGAATTATGTGCGAGAAATATAGCTTACATACATATTCAAGGAATCTAAACATAAATTTCTTCTTCCCTTTAGATTCCAAACCATACCAGAAATTCGGTTCCTTCACAAACGT